TCTTCTAATTTTCTATTACTTTTATTTCATTATAACTTAAATCTAAAAACTGTAATTTAGCAAATAATTTCTTTTCAAATATTCCTGCTCCTATTACATTAACTTTACATTTTATACATTTTAATGTTTTTAACTTTTTCCATATTAATCCTTGTGTTGATCCTAAAAATATTTCTAATGTTTGAATTCTACTATTCTCTACTGTTAATTCTATTAAATTCTCCGCTAATCCTTTTGTTGTCATATTCACAAATACTTTTAAATCTTGTATATTTAATCGTGTTATACTACATGCTGATACAAATCCTATAGGCAATTTTATTATTTTCCCTTCTTGTATCCCTCCTAATATCTCTCCCGATTCCGGCTGAATTGTAACATGTTTAATCTTCCTAAAAAACTCACTCATCCCATTTCTTTTCCCAAAAGACGGATGTGCCAGTCCATTCATAAACATCACTAACCCCGGCGTTAACACTAACTCTTTATTCTTCCCCTCTATACTCACTTCTATAAATTTATCTAAATACTTAAATAATCTCTCTATAAATATTTCTTTCTTTTCATTCATTTCTTTCTTTTCTAGTTTCTTTTCTTTTCAAGTTTTCCTTTTTTTCTTCTCCTTTTTTTTTGGTTATTTGTTTCATTCTTTCATGGATGTTAGATAGAGAAGGGTTGTTGTTTGGGGTGTTGTTTTTTGGGGGGGATATGGTTATGTGTTTTGGTTAGTTGTTTTAGTGTTCTTGATGCTTTCACAAATGAAAAGAATGTCTAGTGTGTTTTTATTTTTTGTGTATTATGGTTTATAATCGGTTGAGTACATAGCGAGGTTTTTGTTTTGTCTTGTTTGATATGGGTTTATTATAGTATTTTAAATTAATTAATTCTTTTTTTGAAATTTTGGAAAAGGGGTTATTTCGGTATGTTATTGTTTTGTCGTGTGTATTACACTGAAATTTTAATTCTGACGATGTTGTTGTTTTGGTAAAGTGAATGAAGTGCACAAGCGTTGTTGTTCTATTGATTTTATTTATTCATGAAAAACTTGTTTATTTTGTTTAAGAAAAAAAGGGCTCATAAAATAAAAAATAAATCCCGTTGTGTCTTTAAAAGAATCTTAAAACTATTATTTTCTAATGACAGATATAACCTCACAGCAATTTCTCGAGTTAAATCAAAAAATTGATCAGCTGCAAAAAATGGTTCAGTCAATTCAAACGTCTGTTGATTCTTTAAATCAAATAACAGAAATACAAAACACATTACCAAAGACTATTGAAAGTATTGTTAAAGCTACGTTCAATAAATATCTTGTTCTTCCAGAAGATTATGACGCTTCGATTCAAGCGATGGTTGATCAAAAAAATAAAAACAGTTCTACAAAAAGTTCATCGTATTATCAAGACACAGAACGTAAATCACAAGATGTTAAAAGAAACCCTTCTTCTTCTTTGACTCAAAACAACGTGAAAGAAGAACCAAAAAAAATAATACCAATACTACCAAAAGAAAAGAAATCAGCTATTACAGAAATTTGTGAAATTCCAGACAAACAAACAACGTTTGGAGTTAAAGGAGAAGTTATAGTTGCTTATGATCGTAAAGATGGAGTAGTTGAATTAAATGAAAGTAAAAACATTCTTGCAAATATTCCAAATGAAATTGTTAATGATATTGGATTTACAAAAAATGGAACTCTTCTAATTGGAACAGATAATGGAATTATTACGTCAAAAGATGAAGAAGTTAATAAAATTGATATCTCTGCTAAATCGTGTTGTGAATTTATGGATCAAATAGTAAGTGTTTGCCCACATGGATTGACTTATAAAGATGGGGAAGAGAGGAAAACATTAAAACAAATAAATTCAAAAATAGAATTTAAGGATCCTATCAAAGTTAGAGCAAGTCATGAGTATCTCTTTGTAAATGACAGTGAAACAAAAATATTATCAATTTTTAATTCTTCTTTTAAAATAATAAAAGCAATCAATAGTAGTAAATTTATTGATTTCTGTATTATTTCAGATAGTCAAATAGGTGTTATTTTCGATAAGAGTATTCGTATTATTAATATTGCAGATAAATCATTATTTGTTGAAAAAGAAATTAAATTAGAAAAAGAAGGAACAAAGATTTCGCTTGCTAGGATAGAATGTGTTGATAACCAAACTGATCCTTATTTAGTTGCTCTTGGAAATGATTGTAAAACTCTTTATAAAATTCCTCTTGCTTTCTTCAAATCTTCCTTAAAAAAATCAAAATAAAGTTTTTAATAAATAATTTATTCATTTATTTCATTGGCTTTGTAAATCTTGTTCAATATATAAATAATATTAATGAGGTACTTTGAACACTGTATCTTATTATTTATAATTTGCATATCATTGTAAGAATATAAAATATTTATCATAAGTATCAAAATGTTTTCTGTTCTTATTTCTTCTTATTAAATCTTTCATTCTGTGTTCTTTTAGATTCTTCTTTTAATGACTTAGTTTTATCTTTTATATTCCTTTCTTCTATTGAAATAATTTTATCTGTTGTCAT